CCAAACGGTTTGAAAATAAAATGAAAAGAATGGGGAAGATGGCAATGTAAAAGAAAAATATATATGCTCTGTAATAAACACATTGAGCTCTCTTTGTGGATCAGTTTTAATATTTTATATTATTAGGATTCACTTGGATTACTTACCACAGATTTTTTACACACACACACAAACACACACACACACACACACATATATATATATATATGTGTGTGTGTGTGTGTGTGTGTGTGTGTGTGTGTGTGTGTGTGTGTGTGTGAAAAGTGTATATAAATATAAATAAATATATATATGTATAATTATTTATATATTATATGCGCGGTACTTATTAGAAAGCGCTCAATATCAGAGATAGAGCTAACATATTTGGTTGGATAGATGTGAGTTTGTGACCCTGGGTTTCACGCTTCAGCGATCGTCAGACAAAATCACAATGTAGGATATTTAATAATAGGATGCTGCCTGCCATACTTACTGCTGCTGTTAAATAGTTAGTCATCTGTGATTACAATATTATTAGCGAATCCCATTTTGTATTTGTTTCTATGCTAGTCCATATTCCAACCTTCTTCAAGCGATATATGTTGTAATTTCAAACCAAACCCTTTATTTAGTCGACGGGGGGTAGATTGTTCTAATTCCTTTGGATATCCCGGTTCCACTTAATTCCCGTTGTACACTTTTGGCCTTTTTCAGGTGATATGCGTTGTAATTTTCCCCTGAATCATTTATTCAGTCAACTCTCCGAGTTTTTGTTCCTTCTGCTCTCGCCAGGAATTGGGTGATCCAAAAGTGACTAGAACTAATTGTTGTGAGTTCAATATTTGGACGCAGCAGCGGGAACTTTGAGAATTCAATAAAAGGTTCGGTTCGAAATTCCAACCTATATAGTCTGAAGAAGGCCATAGCGTTCAACGACCGAAACGTCGTTAATATCGCAATAAAGATTAGGATAACAGTCCGAACCATGTAAATAGTGTAAATATTTACAATACCTCATCTCAGAAATATAGACAGATCTACCTCCATAATGGTGAGATTAATCATTTCCATGCAGAAAACATTAGGTATTCACTGACCGAGTAGTTAGCGTTATTGTTGGCTGAAATATATAAAAATCTTAATCTAGTCAGTCAATTTCAGTACAGCTGACGTGACTCATTCTGTGTCCAATTGTCACATTCTCTATGGAGTAGCAACCAAGAGCATTTAGCCTTATAGTCCACATTGATGAGGAATCAACGTATAGAAATTTCTGTGAATTTGAATAATTGGCTCCAATGCAGATATTCAGTAGATAAGCACAAGGTTCAATATAGAGACAGTTATAAGCATAAGATTCAATATACAGACAGACTGTTATATGCATAAGATTCAATATAAAGGCAGTTATAAGCATAAGATTCAATATAGAGACGGTTATAAACATAATATTCAATATAAAGACAGTTATAAGCATACGATTCAATTTTAGAGACAGTTATTAGCATAACATTCAATACAGAGAGAGTTATAAGCATATGATTCAATATAAAGACAGTTATAAGTTTAAGATTCAATAGAGAGACGGTTATAAGTATAAGATTCAATATAAAGAAAGTTATAAGCATAAGATTCAATATAGAGACAGTTATAAATATACGATTCAATATAGAGACAATTATAAGCATAAGATTCAATATATAAATAAACATAAATATAGACAGCAAGAAATATAATTTCAATATATAGACACTTATAAGCAATACGAGTATCGTTCAAAAAGTTCCAAGCATCACCCAGAAAGAGCCATAGCTGAACATTTTTGTTTCAGAAACAATCTACCACTTCTTATAAAACTAGAAATACTAATTAAGAATTCTGTCTTAATTTTTGTGAAGGTGACGCCCATGCAAATGGTTTGATACATGCAACAAATCTAAAAATGGTCAAAACAACGCACCAGCAGTCATAAAGTATCTCTAAAAGAAAGGCAAGCTAACCAAGGAAATCCATGAGGACATGGTAAAGACACTTGTTGTGGACTGCCCTTTCTATGCAGCTGTGAAGAAGTAGACTGCGGAATTCAAGCGGGGCGAAGACGGCGCAGAAGATGACCCTCGATCAAGTCGTCCAAAATCTCAACTACTGATGAACAAGTTGATGGCCTTTACTGTATGGTTTAAAATGACAGACGGCTTACTGTCCAGTAGATAGCTAACTTCATAGGCATCAGTTCTGGTTCAGTCCATACAGTTTCTTGGCGTTAAGCAAACTGTCTTCAAGATGGGTTCCAATTTGCTGCCACTGGAGCAGAAGCTGAAAGGAGTTGACATTTCCAAGACACTTCTGACTCGCTTCCAGGCTGACAACTTAGGACCGGAATCAAAGATTCAAAGCAAACAACGGAAACACTCTATTTCTCTACCCCTGAAGAAGTTCAAGCAGGCAGCGTCTTTTGTTAAGGTGAGGGCTTCTTCTTTTTTCGGATTTTAAATGACAGACGGCTTACTGTCCAGCAGATGGCTAACTTCATAGGTCTGGTTCAGTCCATACAGTTTCTTGGGATGAGCAAGCTGTTTAAGATGGGTCCCAAGAATACTGATACCAGAGCAGAATCTGAAAAGTCTTGACCTCTCCAGGACATGACTCATTCCTAAACCTGAGAATTTCCAATGCTGATTATTAACTCAAGATGAAACCTGGATTCACCACTTTGAACCTGAATCAAAGACAGCAAACATTGAAACTCTCTAGTTCTCACCCCTGAAGAAGTTCAAGCAGACTGTTGGAAAGATGGCTTTGTTATTTTTAATTTGAAGGCGTTGATATAACCTGAAAAGGGAGAAAAAACTATTAATGGACAGTAGAATTAAGACAACTGAAAGATGCAATCAAGTTGAAATGCAGAGAGTAGCTGTGCTCAGGATAAGGATGCCCTATTCACACTGCTTAGATTGCAGTAGCTGAATCAACCAACTATTTTTATCTTAATTTCTGTGCAGGTGAAACCAATACAAAGGTGCAAGGTGTGAGACAAATCTAAAAATAGACAAAACAAAGGCCCGAGCAGCCATAAAGTTTCTGCGAAAGAAAGGTATCACACCCAAAGAAATCCACAAGGACATGGTACAGACACTTGCTAAGGATTTCCCTTCCTATACAACTGTGAAGAATTGGGCTGAGGAATTCAATTGGGGAAGGAAGAGCACAGATGACCCTTGGTCAGGTTGTCCAAAAACCTCAACCACTGATGAGCAAGTTAAGGCCATTCACCATATGGTATTGGATGACAGACATCTTACTGTCCAGCAGATAGCTAAGTCCATAGGCATTAGTTCTGGTTCAGTCCATATTGAGATCTTGGCGATGAGCAAGCCGTCTGCAAGATGGGTCCCAAGAATACTGATACCAGAGCGGAAGCTGATACGGCTTGACCTCTCCAGGACACTTGTGACTCATTCCTAAATCTGAGAATTTCCAATGCTTTGATTATTAACTCAAGATGAAACCTGGATTCACCACTTTGAACCTGAATCAAAGATTCAAAGCAAACATTGGAAACTCTCTAGTTCTCTACACCTGAAGAAGTTCAAGCAGGCAGCGTCTGTTGGTAAGGTGAGGGCTTCTTCTTTTTTCGGATTCTGAAGGCGTAATCATGATAGACTACTTGGACAGTAATATGAATCAGAATTAAGACAACTGAAGGAAACAATCAATTCGAAACACGGGGGAAGCTGAGGACAAGTGTGCTCTTCCTCTAGAATACCGCTCCTGCTCATACTGCTCAGTTTGCAGTAGCTAAAGCAGCCAACTGTGGCTTTGAATTGCTACCTCATCCCCCTTACTCACCAGCTTTAGCTCCATCTAACTTCTTCCTGTTTCCTAAACTCAAATCCCACCTGCGCGGTCGCCATTTTGAAAACAATGATGAGATCATATGTGCTTTGAAGGAGTTTTTGGAAGACAAAGACGCCACCTTCTTGAGTGATGGTGTTAAGGGGTCCCCCCTTTTATACTTGCCCAGTGTGTCTTGTACTCTGCCGGTGAATACTCGAGAGTGAGAGAGTGAGAGTGTGAGGAAACCGCTTTGTAGGAGTCACAGTTGCGAGCACGTAGACTCAGAAGGAAGTCCTACTTCAATACTGAATTTCCCAGACTTTTTATATATATATATATATATATATATTATTCTACTAACTGCATTTCTGAATCTCTTCTTTCAATTGTATTATTACGTCTTACATTTATTTGCTATATTTCATTCCTGCGTTTGTCATTCATTTTGAGACCGGATTTCATCCGGGAAGCCACAACATATGGGATTACAATACTTGAGCATCGATCGGCCAAGTGCATTGATGTCAAGCGGGACTATATTGAAACTGTCTTCTTTTTCCAACTGGATGAGGCTTAGAACTTTTTGAACGGACCTGGTATATAGACAGTTATAAGCATAAGGTTCAATGTATAGACTATTATAAACAATGTATAGTCAATTATAAGCATAAGTATCCAATAAATACACAACTGTATGCATGAGGTTCACTATATAGACAATTATTCGTTCCAATGTTTAGAGCATAAAGTGAAATATATAGACAATTATCAACATAAGGCAACAGATTCTGTTCGTGTATATACTTCAAGTATCCATGCCCGTTTATAAGTATAGAATAACTTTCTTCTGAGGATGTCCTGTGATATTTAAATGGTTATCTCGTGATTGCGTCAATTTTTGTCTCATCTTTTTTTTTTTCGTCTTCAATCGAAGAATACAAATGATTAAGTTTGTTGAATAAAAGCTTTTTTAATCAAACCTAATGACACCTAAGTGTTACATCCAGACCAAGATGAAACAATTTCTCTCTCTCTCTCTCTCTCTCTCTATATATATATATATATATATATATATATATATATATATATATATATATATTTCATCTATCTCTCGCCACGGGTGCCCTCTCTCTTTCTTTTCTTTCACTTTTATTCTCTTTTCTGTCTCTTTCTTTCTATACATGCTTCTTGTTTTATTTCGTCTTCCTTTTTTCTTTCATAACCCCCCCATGCATTTTCCATCTCAATCTCTTTCTATCTATCTTTCTATTGTTAGCTCGTCTTTCTTTCTCTCTCTTTCTCATTCGCTTTCTCTTTCTTTTTCAATAATTCTTTCTCTTTCTTTCTATCTTTTTTCTTTCTTTCTTTGCTGTTACACTTTCTCTTCCATCCTTGCATTACTATGTTTTCTTCTATTTTTCAAATGATTTCGCCCTTTCATTCTATCTACTGTCAGTTTTTTTATTTTTCTTTCTTTTCTTTCTTTTTCTTTCTTTCTTTTCATTGTTGCTTAAGCAATTCTTATTTTTTCATTCTTTCTTCCTTTTCTTTTTCCTTCTTTCTTTTCTTTTCTTTCTTTCTTTTCTTTCTTTCTTCTCATTATAAAGCTAATCTTAGTTTTTCTTTTCTTTCTTTTTTTTTTTCATCTCATTACAGCTGAAATTTAATCTTTTAATTTTCTTTCTTTCTTTTCTTTACTTCATAATCATTCTTTCTCGTTTGATAAATTTTGGTTGTCTCTTTTACGATCTCTTTCTTTCTCGCATTAATATATTGGATTTTCTTTTCTATTCCTCGTGTCTCGATTTCTATTTCCTTCTTTCTACCTGTCTTTGTTTTTTTCCTTTCAATCTAGTCAGTGAATTCAACAACGTCGACAGGAATTTTCTCGATTTCTCACTGCGAAATCCATTAAAAATGACAAGATGATTATTGACTTGTAAAAAAAAAAAGAAAAAAAAAAGCAAGTTAGTGTTTACGCGGAAAACGGATCCGCTTCTTCTAGCTGTGGGTAAATAGCAAGACAAACTGGGTTCTATAGCATTGGGTAGAAACCTCTCTAAGACAAGGAAAAACTCTGAAAAAATTATGAAACCCCTTCGTTAGTTAACCAGGAGCCCTCCTATTCATTCGCTTCTTTCTATATTTATTTCCCTATCGTTCTTCTCTCTTTTTGCATTTATTTATTTAGTCTTTCAATTTCCTTTCTTTCTTTCTTTCTTTTCAATTTTTAGCCGTCTCTCTTTTTTTAACTTTTTCTCTTTTTTTCTTTCTTTTCTTTCTTTCTTTTCTTTTCTTTTCTTTTCTCTCTCTATTTTTCTCTCCTTCTATTATTTTATACATCTTTTCTTTATGTCTTCCTTTTTCCTTCCACTCTTTTCTCCATTTTTATTTCTTTTCCTTGTCTCTTTTCCTTCCTTTTCTTTTTTTTTTTTTCACTTTCTTTTCTCTTCTTTTCTTTTCTTTCTTCACTTCTGCTTTCTATTCGTCTCTCTCTCTTTTCTATCATTCTTTCTTTCTTTTTGTCTATTGTATATGCAATCTCTTTCGTCATCTCTAATTAACATATCCACCCTCAATTCGTCTCTCTTCCTCTTCTTTCTCTCTCATTCTGTCTCTCATAGGTATTATTTTATCGAAATGCTCTTTCACTCTTTCCTACTATATCTCTCTCTCTCTCTCTATATATCTCTCTCTCTCTCTACTTCTCAATTTTATCTCTTCCTTTTTATTTCTTCCTCGCTCTTCTTTGTCTTTTTCTCTTTCTCGCTCTCTTTCTTTGTCTATCCCTTTCTTCCGTCCGTTCACCTTCCCTCTCTGTTTCAGACTTTCTTCACCTGTATTTTCTCTCCTATGTATCAAATCTCGTTATTCAGTCTTAAGTAGTCTTTTCATTCCCAGTCCTCACACTCTGATATGAACGCACACATACATACATTTACAAGGCCCGATCAAAACTATGGCAACGGAGCTAAAAAAAACGCAGTGAAGTTGCTTAGCACTGTTTAACTAAACTCTCTTGGGCATACATATTAAATTATAACGTTCTCGCTCACTTTCTTTGTTTATAGTAGTGACTAGCAGCATGGTCCGGCGTTGCCCGTGCTTGATTCAAAAATCGTTCGACTCATACAGCAATCGCTATCACTTGACTAAAAAATATTTTGCCCTTTCTTGCCTTTAAAAGAGTGCCATTTGCCGTGCTGATGTTGCTATATGCCTTACTTCTTGCCTATCTCTGCGAATTTTTCTAAGCTCTATACTAAACATTAAATCTGTTACGAAAAAAGAACTAAACAAAATGAACACAAAACGATCAGCTTTAAAAAAAAAAGGACTCATAACTGGAAAAACTGAATGAAAAATAATGTTAACAACAAATACTTTTCACACCCAACCCAGTTCTGCGGAATCAGAATCAACGTTGAGTTTAAGCCCTTCTGAATGAGCCAATTGGAGTAAAGTGCGATGCAGATTTAAATTTTTTTCCCACTTGTGACGAATGCAGCTATCGATTTTTTTTTTTTTTTGCATGTTTAGCATGCTAGTTAACATTCGTGTCAGTCAGCTGTTGACTCTCATGCTGGACAATAGAATCTTCCTGCCTATCCGTGGCAGCCAGCTATAGGCTCTCACCCTGGCCAGTACTAGATGGCCGCAAACTTCATGAAAAGTGCCGTAGAAGCATGAGGGAAATCTTGGCAAAGTTCCTTGGCTAACTTGGAGCATGTACATGTAAATTTTGGTGCAAATCCGTCGAAAATTGCGACCGTGCATTCGTTACACACACACACACACACACACACACACACACACACACACACACACACACACACACACACATCCTGCCTTTTATAGAAACAGATTGAAAAGAAAATGTGTAGAGTGTGGTCGTTTCACAATACCACATCGATCCCATCAGTGGCCATGGCGTGTGCAGCAGTTTTTTTGTCAAAGACAACATTCCACATGTCTGACACCTACTATATTCCCCAGATCTCGACCCACCCGACTTTTTTCCTTTTAAATATCAAATCCCACTTTACAGGGACAATATTTCATGAAGTCGTGGAAATCCAAGTGAATGCAACGAGTTTGCTTCTCGTTATCCCAAAGTTCCAGGAATGGTTCCATTAATGGAAGCGACGCTGGATAAAGAGTGTTGCTTCAGAAGGGGACTACTACGAAGGAGATTAAATACTGAATTGATATGTGTGGTAGTTTTCTTGTTATAGCATCAGCCCTGACACTTTTTGATCAGACCTCCTACATTGTTGTACATAAACTCTCCTTTACGCTATAAGATAAACGGCACGCTTCCTCTCTTTTAAACACATCCTCACATAATTATATTATGGTCCTAATTCAGAAACTCACACGTCATTACTCTTGCGCGGGTTTCACATTAAAAAATTTAAAAGCTAAACTAATAAAGATGACAACAGGAAAAAAACATAATTGAACAGAAATATTTCAGGAGCTTGTGGAAAAATAAGATAATACTTTTATTCCTCAGGCATATACACGTTTCTAGATAAATTCGAGGAGAAATGAGCTGGTTGGTATATGAGACGGGTTGCGTCAATTGCTTTTAATTTTTTTTTACACCACATGGTGGCGGCTCTGTTAGCCTCGTTTTGAGCAGAAGGGCTTTAAGTTAATTATTCTTGAGTCACATAGCTTGTAAGAATGAAAAGTATTGGTTCTTTCACTTTGAAAAAAGTGTACCTCTCTCATGCTTATGATGTGCGGTTGACTATAACACACACACACACACACATATATATATATATATATATATATTATAATTATTTTTTAAAAATATGAATCCTTCGCTACATAAGAGTTTTCAAGTTTCAAAAACAAGAGCCAAAACCCTCAATATAATTATTAAAATTAGACGGAATTAAAGTATCAGGCTCTGTTTTATCCTCAAGTTGCATATATATATATAAACATTTCTATGTTTATACATTCTTTTTATAGATACACATATTTAAGTAAATGCTCTGTTTTATAATATACAGTATTTATAACATTTACCAGCCTGAATGTCCGATAAATTTTCATAGAAAATATTCGTCCTCCGACAGAAATCGAACCGGTATCTTATACGGAACCGTCGTTTAGCCTGACGTGCTCTTAACCGATCGAGCCACAGAGGATCGTTCGATTAGCAAGGTCGAATTTACTGACTTTAAACTTCAATCTTCCATGTATCCCTCACGTACATTCATATCTTCTCAAAGCTTATCCAAATGTAAACAAATGACGTCACACACTATGAAACGGACAAAGTCCGACAATTATTTTTTAGACAATTTTATGTTTATACATTCTTTTTATGAAAATGTCTTAAAATAATTGTCGGACATTGGTGAAGTGTTTTCGATGCTTTCTCCACTGTTTGAAATTAAGAGACTACTTTCACTTTCATTGAGTACCACCCAAGGCTAGAGAGCTCAGTCTACCCTGCTATTTAACCAGCAACTCTAAGGATAAGAGATTGAGCCATGCCGTTCCTAACGGTATTAGTGGGGGTGGGGATAAGAAAATGGGTTGAAATTTAAACTCGAGCCGCCGATTCCATTTTCAAAATATCCTTCCGCGGAGCTAATTTTCCTGAAAATATAACAAGGTTTATTTCTAAATTTCTGGTTTTTCTCATGACAATTCTAAAATTTCCACAGGCTCTGATTTTTTTCCCTTCCATCCGCTATAACAAATAAGCCAGATTATGTTCGGATTAGGTCTGTATAACACCAGGCCTGTAGTCAGTAACACCTAAATAAGTGTGGGGTGGCATCAACAATAAATGAGCAAGCTCGTTTACCTGATAATCACCCTGGCCTTACTGCTGATCTTTGTCTAATGACAATTTTCCGTACGCAAGAGAGAATGATGGATGTTCTGATTTTCAAGTGCATGTAAGATCAAGGGAAGTTGATGAAATACCTTGAAGATCAAGGTTACTAGTTTCGGAATGTCCCTAGAGATGGTCACAGTCTCCAGCGTGCAGTAATAGCGTCGATATTGTCATAGGGTATCAGTCCTTCTCGTGAGAGACTAACTCACAAATTCTCACAGAGATCTTAGACAGACATCAGCGTTAGTAAGATTCTTGCCTTAGAAGGAAATAATGTTCTCACGGATCTGAAAATTTACATAGCATCAAACGATTGCAAAACAGATATAGACACGATTCCAAATACTTTCACTGTTATAGCATTGACTAAAAATTTGTATCAGAATCGCAATAGAAGAATTGCATATATATATGTGTGTGTGTGTGTGTGTGTGTGTGTGTGTGTGTGTGTGTGTGTGTGTGTGTGTGTGTGTGTGTGAAAAGTGTGTGTATATAAATATAAACATAAATATATATATATTTAAAAGTGTGTGTATATAAATATAAGCATAAATATATATATGTGTGCGTGTGTGTGAAAAGTGTGTGTATATAAATATAAACATAAATATATATATATTACGTGTGTGTGTGAAAAGTGTGTGTATGTAAATATGAACATAGATATATATATGTATATATATATATATATATATGGGTGAAAAAAAAAATATATATATATATATTATCTATATATTATATGCGCGGTACTTATTAGAAAGCGCTCAATATCAGAGATAGAGCTAACATATTTGGTTGGATTAATGTGAGTCTGTGACATCAATCCAACCATATTCTATATTGCTTTATTCACGACGTCCCGGCCGTTGAACACCGGTTACTGATACAAATTTGCTTATATATATATATATATATATATATATATATGTGTGTGTGTGTGTGTGTGTGTGTGTGTGTGTGTGTGTGTGTATGAAGTTTTCTCTGATTTCACCAGTAGATAAGACAGTATTCATGAATAAAAATGACAATAGGAAAACTAGTAATTGCTGACGCGTTTCGTCCAGTGTGGACTTTATCAAAGCAAAATACGAAATTAATTTAATTGAACAAGGTAACTAATAAAAACAAAAACAGAATGTTCCTGACATTAACAATATGAAAATAGCTTTTCTTTACATTACAGTCGCTAGGAACATTCCTATTGTTATTTTTATATATATATATATATATATATATATATATATATATATATATATATATATATGAATAAATATACTCTTAAGGTATCTATATATAGGGATAAAAGTACTCAATATCAGAGACAGGCGTGTGTAATATAAAGTAAACATTGAAGTCAACACTCAGGGCGACAGGCTGTTTCATGCTAGACGTAATCGTCAGGCCACCGACTGCGTCTACCATGAATCAAACTATAGCCTTATATTTATATTTACATACACTCTATCATACACTCTATCTTGAGCACTTTACCCCATAAATATAGCATGCCTTAAGAGTATATTTCATATATATACGTGTTGACTTCAATATTACTTATATATATATATATATATATATATATATATATATATATATATATATATGAAGTTATTAAGCAAATCATATTCGATGTTTAAACAAAGCCTTAGTTAAAAATTTTAGGTAGTATCAATATGTTTTATTGAAGTTATTTGATGTATTCTAAAAGACTGTCGTCTGAAGTTACACATTATATTGAGGGTTTTGGCTCTTGTTTTTGAAACATGAAAACTCTTATGTAGCGAAGGATTCATATTTTAAAAAAATAATTATAATATATATATGTGTGTGTGTGTGTGTGTGTGTGTTACAGTCAACCGCACATCATAAGCATGAGAGAAGTACACTTTTTTCAAAGTGAAAGAACCAATACTTTTCATTCTTAGAAGCTATGTGACTGAAGAATAATTAACTCAAAGCCCTTCTGCTCAAAACGAGGCTAACAGAGCCGCCACCATGTGGTGTAAAAAAAAATTAAAAG